CCTAACAGGCAATCATCCGACTGGCTGGACTTAGAAGATGCTTCTTACCTCGCTTGAAAGATTCACGTTTAGAGACATAAATCGGTATTTCATCAATCAGGGGTACAAGTATGTGATACAAGCTTTAACTTCGATGAGGGCGTTCACCGATTCCTTGCGTCAACTCATTGCACTTTATTGAACTGTATCATATTGTACTCAAATGGATGTGAAATTTTGGCGAAAGGTGTCGCAAATATCAGTAGAAGTAAAGGGAGTTCTCGTCGTAGAACAGAAACGTCCAAACTTCTCGACGCGTTCGCTGCCCGTTCAAACCAGATATCACAAACGAACACCGCCTGGTGCGGGCAGTTCATTAGGTTATGTTATACTAGCTGTGACTGCACCAGATTTTGTGTCAAACACGAACAGATAGACTGCTTTAAAGGAAAGGTAAGAGACGTGCGATGGTGTTCTGAGTCTGACGACAACTACATCTTTTGCTTTGTTTGCGTATCTCCTGATTCAATAGAAGAAGTAAGAATAATAACGAAACCAATAAATCGCATGGAATTGGGTTGTCGATGGGTCTCTAAAAACGGATGCTGGGATAGGTCATGATACACGACGTGCCCTGACGCAACTTTCTAACAGGGAACATGATTGATGAATCCTACCCAAATCTATGAAGTGCATCACTATGGTTGACTTCTGAAAGATTCGCAGTACAACTCCCCTCCTTTTCTCATCATTCGATTGAATACCATTGCGCTAGCTGACACCAAAGAGCAATCACAGGAAGCACTGACAGCAATGTTCTTCCAAGCCTGTATCCCTAGTAACGGGTTCAAGTAATTACAAATCCACTTTAGGTCATGGAATGCATTTCATATCTACTGGTCAGTCGTAAGATGGTACTAAAGTTAAGTCAACAAAAAACCAACTAGCAAAAGAAAATTACACCTACCAGTGGAGTTTGCACAATGGGAGGGACTGCTGGAGTTGAACTTGTTGTTGAGTGTACGCTGAATGATCTTCGATTTGGCGTCCACCTCCAGCTGGAGATGCTTCAGCTTATGCCGCAAATTGCAGTTCTCCTCCTGCACCTCCGACAGACGAGTCAACAGGCCCTAAAGCGGAAGTAGTCACTCGATTCGTGGAAAAAAAGCCAATCATAGCTGAGGCATAATTACGATTGGTCGAGAAGTAACCAATCGCCGTATTGAAACGAATTTTGGCAAAAATCAGCTGCGCGATTGCCAAGGCACATGTAAATTGAATATTGGCGTTCCCATGGTGCGAAAAAGGGACCATGACAACAAAGCATTTGGGGTATAATCAATGTTAAAACCTGATGGCATAATTTTCTGCTGCAATAAAGTAAATTCATAGTAAATTAGACAGTGCCAATTGCATTTAACTCGTTTTCTGATGGATCAAACTCCTCAATATATTTTTGTGCCCACTTCATGCGTTGACACAAGTCACCGAAACTCTGATGCCGCTTAGCACATTGGCCGCCAGGATTTATCTCGAGTGAAATCCAACCACCAGAGCCCAGATGCTTCACTAGCTCAGAATGACACTAATAGGCATTAATTTTTTGGTAAATCAACTGACGTGCAATAAATGAAAGGGCATAGTCACCCCCAGACCGTGTATACCAACAAATTTGATGCAACCACAGCTATCGTAAACGGTATCAAGTCCGCATGTCACGCATACGTGACGGCCAGGATCAGGCAAAAATAGGAAGCCACACGTGCGCGATGCTAGTAGAGAAGGTCAAAGAAAGCATAAGTCTAACAGCCACATTTTAGCGATTTTAACTGGCAATTATATTGCTCATGTGGTTGTATTCTTTCCGCCAGATTTCTAGAGTTGAAATCGCAGAAGGAAACTCAATCTACCTATCACGAATGCTTCTTTTGTAGCACAGAAGTTATTAGCCATTAGATCTCAAAAACATCAAGTCCAGCAAGACCACTAAACCACAAGTGTAAATCAGCGCTTACTAATAAGGGTCGGATCATCTTTTACTGCTTTTACAGGACTCTAGGACCACTCCTCTATGATTCAAATTTAGACATGGAAAATTGAGTATTTGTTCAACAAAAGTCAACAAGACAGATAGAGCCAAAAGACTTAAGCGACTCTTTAATAGGCATTAAACTTGAATTTCAAGACTTGGTGAAATTGCATAATGTGAAACAACTTCTTGCCTTTAAATCCTCCTCCGAGAATAGGGCCTGTTGAAGGTGCCGTGCTTGCTGGTGTTGTGTCTGCGAGGTGGAAGAAGCATCCGGAGCCTCTCCATTATCATTTCCCGCTGTCTGACTACCACCTGAGAAGCTGAATGACTCCACTGAAATCCCATCCAAGTTTTGGTCAGTCGAAGGTATGACAACCAGACTTGATAACGATAGCGCATTTCCCGAGGCTGCACGTTTCGCTGTGCGCAGCGCGGACGCAAGTTGTCGTTGCAGCTCGCGTTGAACTCGCTCCCCCCGTCTCTGCGCCACGTTTAGCTCACTCCGAAGAGCTTCACATTCGCCTTCTAGCCGTTCTACGTCCAGTTCCCGCCGGCTGACTTCCTTAAGCAAGCCCTCTGAAGTTCTCCGCTCAGATTCAAGTGAATCCAACAGTTCTGATACTTTCTTCGCCTTGGCAAACCATTCGGCTACCTCGGCAGAAGTTGCTTCCGTCTGGGTTACAGCCGACGCCCAACCCGATTTAAACGTCTGACAGGCAATGGAGATTGTAGATACCGTAACAGAGGGAGATGGTGTTTGAACGACCGCATCAGTGGTGCTGGAGACGCTATACGTCTCCTCCAGCTGAGCGTTTTCCGCCTGAAGACGCTCACACTCGGCCCGGAGAGTTGAGATTTGTAAATGGAAGGAGGATTCAGCATTGAGGAGGCGTTGACGGAGATGTTGGTTCTCCTTAACTACCGTCGCGATGTCTCCAGCGCGTTGGATAGATGAGAGGCGGCTTTGCAGTTGAGCCAGCTCTCCTGACTGTTGAGCAAGAGTATTTTCTAATGCAATGACCTTTTTCTCGGCTCGAGATAGGTCCTCCTCGGTGGTGTATTTCTGTTTGCGAAGTTCGAGGAATTGGGATTGGAAACGAGCGAACTCTTCGGCTGAGATTGAGGTCTGCATGGTGCTCAGAGCATGGCAATTCACTCTACAAACGAAAAGCGTAAGGACTCAGCATTTTGACAGACATTTTATCTCATGGCCTTTTAGGAATGTTTTGGAGAGAATTGGGGAGTATTTGATGTGTGAGAAAAAAGGAAAGTTAAATCACTAGTACGGATTTCCAATGTGGAAATACTTTTCCCTACATGAAGAAAGCAATCCACAAAGACTTCTGCAGCTAAAAAGCATTATTTGTTAAAAGCTATTAAAGAGTGCCCTCGATCAGATTCTACCAAAATTGGCAAAAATAAAAATGACAGTAATAAATCTAACTGGCCTCAAGTCGTGCCAGACCTCAACAATGCAAGGCTTAATTTCGCAACTCACGATAAATCGACAGAAACGAGTGACAAATTAGTAATGAGGCAGTTAGTAAACCAAAGAATTACGCCAATAATAACCTAAAACCTCTTATTCATGCGTCTTTATATACAGTGAGTTGTACAGCATGCAACACCACGAGTAAACCCAAATAATGCCAGCGCAATCACGTTTCGTGTTGGTAAAAAACATGTACGAAAGTTCAGTTCGGATTTCGGATCTGTATTCTAACATGTCCTTCATATGAAAACGGAGTATAAGGGGCTAGATTTGAAATACTTTACAAACTATGTGGCCATACATTACCAATAATAATGCAGCGAAATACTAGCATAAGTGCACTCCTGACCATCTTATTTATACAGAAAAGGGAACTAAGGAAAGTGTGATCATTTACTAAAAGAGAACTAGCGAAAATTCTATCTTGCCACTTCGGTCTTTAAAGAAAAAAATTGGTCAGAACTTAGTCGTCCATTTGAAGCTCATGATGTTTTTATACTTGAATGATGTAAACTTACTAGATTTACGAACGAATTGTTGCGTATGGATAAAATGAACGACTAATTAACGGTCAACACGCAATGGAATAGTAGTCCGATACACACAAGTAGTGACCTTGACAATCCCGCCTACAAAATATCAATAAAAATTGATGTGGATGTGTAGAGGATTTGCTTATAAGCTAGCAAAGTACAAATTTCGCCAAAATCTAAAAACTGATGCGTTTTTAAAAAAGGCTGGCCACTGATTATTTTCCAAACTGCTGACAGCAAAGCAGGGTGTGTCATAGTTTACTAACTTAAGCTTTAATCCACTGAAGTGGCTGGTTGTCAAGTTAATCAATCTACTTTGCATTTTGTTATTTTAAATTTGTTCTTAGGGTCTCGAACACGGTGTGATGTAGCGTGGTGAGTTAAGGTTTCATTTAACTCCTTATTTGCTTAAGTGAATCCTGGGTCACCGCAGGTTACAATTCTGCACTTCAGCTTTTTAGCCATTCTACACATAAGTCATAACCCCTTCTTCATACTGTTATGTGCTACTGAAGGTTCAGGAAGTGTTCAGACCGCTAACATGGAGCTAGACGTCTACTAGCATGGCTTGGGGGCTAAACATAACTTCGCGTATTTCCAAGGGGCTGGTGTCTTGCAAAACGGATTATCCTACTCGATGCGGTGTTGCGCTCTAAACCTTTGCTGTAGTGTAAGAGGAAATATTTAATTGACTCACAGAAGGCCCAACAAGCCCCTGGCATGCTCCACAAGCCACACCTTTGATCGTAAGTGCAATTTATGAGGCTTAAAGATCCGCGTAATCAGAGTTAAGTGGACGCTAAATGCATTGCCGCTGCAAGTTCTGTTATGTCACGCTGGCATAAACCATTTTAATGAGACATCCCAGACGTTAGGCCTCACTGATTCATTAGGCCCAAAAAACACCACTTTTGCCCAGTACTTGGCTGTGGTCTATCCATCCCCTAGCGCAATTGCACTCGAATAATATAAAAGCTTGACTGTAAAAGCCAGTACTCGTAAGGAAGAACCAGTAAAATGAGAGAAAGAAGCCCCCTAACAATATTAATTATTCTTTTAAAAAGAGGACTTTGTCTATAGAAGAAAAACACATCGACGCTACAGTAGAGGTAGGCAAGAACGAGCAAGGGAGCATGAGGACAAGGAAGTAAGCAATTTGGAGCGTCTACAATAGTCATCTTCTGTCGTATTCCAGCATTAAAAAACGTGGGAAGAACGAATTAAATCAAGACGAAATAAAAGTAGTAAATGCGCCACATTCAGCTGTAAACGAGGAGACACAAAAAGCAAATGATTTGGAGGGCAGGGAAGGACCAATAGACGCAGTACATGACGAAAGACGTCAGCAAAGAATAATGTCAGTGGCGATTGCGAAGTAAAGGAAAAAAATTGTCCAGAACATTAATTACGAAGTAGTAGCTGATGTCGTGGTGGCGGCCCCAGCTGAATCACTGGCTCCTTTCGTTCCGGTGGGTGCCGACTCCTCAGCTTTCTTTTCCTGTTCGGGCTAAAAATAATTACCACTAATTAAATTGTAGTAGACATTAAATTTTACATTACAAAAGGGTTTGCAATAGTCGCGGATTCCTAAGGTCAAAGCTGCCCCCTTACCTCCTTCGGCTTCAATTTCGGGCTAATGACAACTTTTCCGAAATTCTTGCGATCTTGGAGTTTGTGCAAAGCCTCTTTCACCTACAAAATAAAAAAAACATGACAAGTGAAGTCATGCATTATTAACAACCAACTAAGCACTGTCGAAAAGCGTTCACCTCTTCAAAGCTCCATTCACTGTCAACTATAGGCTCAATTTTGCCTTCCACCAGAAGCTGTTGCAATGCCTTCCAGGCTTCGAACACCAATGAGGAGTGATGCTGGCGGAAGAGCATCTGTTTCAATGAGAAGCCGCCAAGACACTTGTTCTCTTCCAACAATTTCAGGGGATTAATGCGATCCATTTGGATCCACTGTATCCACAATGAAAAAAATGCAAACTCATAAGTGCAGATGCTGACAATCATGGTGGTGAGGATTTAAAAGACTTTTAAGCCGTACAAAGTATTGTGATTTACCGATTTGGCAAAATTGAAGAGATTCTTCCTTTCACCGGTGACAAAACTTGAATTGCCTAAAAGTGAGAAGGTTGAGCGCTCATTTTCGTGGACGAGAATCCGACAGAAGAACCCGTCACCAGAGCCTCACAGCTCACAGAAGCGATGTTTTATCGTTAAACAACTACTAGAGTTGTAAAAATGGCATCGCACAACTTTGTGACGGCAGACCCACATATGTGCCGCTGGTGATAAATGTGTCCGGTTAAAGAAACAAAAGCTACAAAGTGGTTGTAGAATGCTGCCTTAGTTTATAGCAATTACAGAGATAATTTTGCTTGATTCACCACGATATCTGCGCCCAAATTTCAACATTGGAGGTGGAAAATGTCAACTTACCGTAGACAATATAGCGACCCAGAGGTTGAAGCAGACCGAGAGATTTGTTGGTGTCTTCACCTGAACGACTGTCCAAGACAACGGTAACGCCATTGGGGTGCTCTCTAGGTAAAAATACACAAAAATGAAAAAGACGCACACTATCAGGGTCATCCAGGTCAAATCGAAGATGTTACAAAACAGAAAAGAGGTTGATTGTAAACCTGCATCCGGCTGCTTTACAAGCCTTAGCCACAGGATTTCCTTTTTATTCTGTGTAGAGCACTTCGCAATCGTTACAATGGTAATGCGACCGTTTTCGGAGCAAGGACTCCACTCTCCATGCTGAGCACACGTGCAAAGGTAGATACAAATTTGTGATCCTGGTACACACACACACACACACCCACAACTTCGGGTTATGATAGAATGCCGTTCCTTGCCCCGTGACGGCGGCTTGACGTGACAACTCTTGCCCTAAGCTCCAAAGACAGCCACCAAGCCAGTTTAAACTGGGTGCTTTCAACTACTACCCTTCAGTGGTCCCACACACTGATGAGGCCTCACAAACCTACTTTTTTACTTCCGCCACGTAATCCTGTGTGCTACCGATGAGTTGTGAGTAGAATTGGTGGAGATTTTCATGCTTGGTGGTTGATGCAGTTCCAATCAGCTTCACATCGGGAATCAATTTGGCCAATTGTCCGATCGCTGTTCCCTGAAGTAAACAAAGCAGAAGTCAATAAGACACTCACGCCGTCACACATATGTGACGTGCTAAAAAACTTTATTTTATGTACTGCGTTAAAAGTTACTTGAGGAACAGCTAACCCATGACAATGAATTTTTCATCCTAATAACTCAGCCACTAATTTAATGGTACATTGCTCTCATCATGCTGCTCTTGAATCCGGTCTTCCAGTCCTTCCTTGGGGTCAAATCAGGCGCTAAAAAATTGCCCGAATTTTGCAATCTTTTAAATAAACGGTTTATCTGCAAAGAAAATTTGTAGGTGATGGGCCAGCCAAAAACGTCTGATGATCTATAGACTACGCTCGCATGTTACAATAAAGTGCGCTCCACTCGGCTGCCAACTGCGGAGTTGACAGCGAAGTTAGGTGTGCATTACGCAACATTCATTTTCAAGGAGCGTAAATGAGCACGACGCCTCGAAGCACTTCATAGGATGGTTTTTAAAGATTGTTTAAATAGAATAAGTGTGAATATGAAAAAAGTTTTCAATTTTCCTCGTTCTGCTCCTCATTACTAGCTGAGCAGACTCACAGACTCCGACCCCAGATTAGGAAGGCGCATTCAATCACGTGGGCTTGGATAGTGATTACTGGGTTCTGGTCACCTCAAAGTCGTCCGATCCGTTCACCGACCAGACAAGTAGCAGGTGAAGACAAGTGTGAGGCAATGTTAGCGCCTAGATGTCGGAGCGTTAGTCCCACCGTACTTCGAATTCCATTCCTCGGCTTTTTGGGACCCCGTACCAAAAAAGTGGTGGTTAAATCTAACTAGCCCGGCTACAGAGGTGCAGAAGCTTCTCCCTTCTCATTTTTGAAGATTGTTCAACAAATTGGTTTGTGGAAGATGTATCGGTGATGGGAGTGGCTATAACCCCAGAAAAACAAAACTCACTCCCGATTCGTATACATTTCTCGCCGGACGCTCTCTGGCCTGGTAGCTAATAGTGTGAAGACACAACATAGATGCACTGATACGCGCTTAAGGTCAAGGTCATTCGGACCGATGGAAATAAGCCTAAAGGACGACCACCCGCGCACACCAGACCACAACAGGTACGAACCCACACACCGTAGCCTCGGTGTGCCCGCCTTGTTGGTAGTAAGGGCCAATTTCGAAGACCTCAACGACGATACCAATCTACGACCTCATGGAGGTGCAGTCTTGAGCTCCTCTGCCCTGTTCATTCCCTTAAAAGTAGAATTAGGTGTTCAGTACAAAAATTCAATTCGGGTGAGGAAATCCAAAGCGGCAGACATTGGAGAGGCTTCAGGAACTGGCCGCCAAACGGCGATATTTTCCCGATTCCAAACCGTCAACCAGAATCTTCTCAAGAGCATCTTCATTCATACCTGTGTCTACGAAAGGGAGAGGGGATCTCAAATCCTCAGAAAGAAATTCTGAGGGCTCTCTCAAGAAGTAATGCAAAGTGCCGAGGAACTAGGTCCGTAAAAAGGTCATCTATGGAATCGTTCTTGTTCATTTAAAAAGAAGCTGGTTCCACAGTTCACAGCAAGTAGATGCGTCCTTGTACTGGGTGTGTGAAGCTACTCCACTTCAACAATCCTTCGGGTTCATTAGGGCACTCACAAATTTGCAAGTAGGCTTTGTGACTGCCTTCCCACCCCCATCTCTCCAGTTGGAACCGACTGATCCCTGATGAAATAAGGCAGTCAAGAAAGTTCGTGAAAGCTAAGTGTCAGCTGAAGTGCCCTTTGCAGGCGAGGCACAAATTGGCTCCGAGTCCCACTTTTCCAAAAGGCTTTGTCTCGAGAAGTAAGCAACCACACCCAGCCCTAACCGCCTCTGCTTCATTTACGGCACCATTTGGTACATGTGACAATCATTGCTTGGAAAAATATTATCCGAGGACTACAGAGAATGGAAAAGTACCCGCCTAACCCCCCCCCTCCCTCCATCCCCTTAGTGTGAACCCTTTCCAAAGACAGCTTTTGTAGCGGTAGAAGTCCTACACAAAGAGGAATCGCTAGCCTTACACTAAGGCGTTTCGATATGGTCACGCAATCTTTCAACATCATAAAAAGTGGACGGTCTTTATGCCAGGGGTCTATCTAACCCCTGGTGACTCATCACTGGAATTAGTGTTCAGAGGGTACGCTCTGCCACCATCGCCCCTTTTCCCAACACACCTTCGCCCGAATTTGACAAGCAGACAGACTGGAATCCCACCAGATTTAGCCGAGACTTTATGACTTGAGGGTTCAAAATAACAACAAATGCTACAGAACACATAAGCAGTCGCACTTTACAAGCCCCTGGCAGTTACAACAGATCAGTGCAACAGGCTCTACCGAAAACGTCAGAAAAAAAATTTCTGGTCACTGGGGAAAGTGTCAAGCCTTGGTGCACCATGCCTCGATTTCAGGCCTAAAGTATGGTCAGTCAGCAACGCTTGACAAGCACGGCGTTCCCAAAAACGGAAGCGTGAAATGCTCCTCCTACTTATGCCAATTTAAAAATGAATGGCGGCACGGGCAGGAAACGACCATAGAAACGTCCGTGCAGGCCAAAATTAGGCTTAGCTACTAGAAAGGTAGAGAAGCTACAGGCAACTGAGCACTTACAACACCACCACCAGCAGAATGGACCAAAACAATGTCACCGGACCGAACACACGCGACGTTGTGAAGCAGTAGATAGGCGGGCAGGTAGGACATGAGGAATGCGGCAGCCTGATTGGCTGATAGTGAGGTGGGTTTGTGCAGGACCAAAGCTAACGGTGCTGCGTTGCCGGGAGCCTCCATGTGCTCAGCTCCACTTTCACTTGGCTCTTCTGGAATAGCTCGAACCACTAGGTGCTCCGTCCAGGCTCCATTGTCGCAAAGCACGATTACTTCGTCACCAACCTGGAATGTCGTAAAATCGATAAAGTAGAACCGTTCGTTTGGTTGCTGAAAGGGGTAACACCACTACCCACGTCATGCATATAACGTTCGGACTGTTCTATCTGTGTTCAGTGCCTTAAAAGTATGTAATGCGCGTTTTTCTGGTAGTTTAAGGTAGGCGATTGCAGTAAATCGAGTGTCACGGGCAGACTGGCTGTGGTACACCCCTTCGGCCAACAACAGGAAAATCGGTTCCGTCCCCTCAAGCGTCACTGGCGTAAGAGGTTCGAAGCCATCGCCATTGCTGGGAGTGAAAACCCGTGGCAGAGAGGCTACTACGACAGCATGACACGCCACGGCTGTTATAGAAAGCCAGCACACATTCCACGGAATAGTCGACACATCGATAAGTAAGGTGGCAGGTAACAATAAGCGGAGGTATAAAACCCAAATCCGCAGGTATCTGCTAGCATCAGTAGGCGCCTCCAAGCACAGTACAGTGAGACATGCGAAAGGGGTAGACGTTTCCCACTCCGCCAGTCTGTCAGCAATGATGGTTCATGGCCGACCGGCAGAGGAGTCAATTTTGTCAACAATCAGCTGGTGTATGGAATGGACGTACGATCTGCGGTGGGTCAACATTGCGGAGGAGGGGAATTCCGTCGAGGGAACAGTGAATACAACCACTCGCAGTATTAAAAGTGATGGTGCACGCTGAGTGCCACGGCGTGAGGAGTGGCCTGGCAGACCTTTCTACGGAGGAGGTGTAATCCAGGCTCCACGTAATAAAAAATCGTTGCCTCCCGCACCTCCTCACCTCTGCCACCTCCCACTTCGACACCCCCCAGTAGATTGGACCGTAAAGTATCAGGCCGGAGTCCACACTTTTCGCGATCAGACATAACAAGCTACCACCACCCTCCCTCCCCCCCCCCGCCTTCCGTCGGTCGTCTGGACCGTCATTAAGTGTTTATTGTCACCATAAAGATTAAAATCTGGAAAGGAGAAACTTATTGCAAAATATTTTGAATTCGTTTTAACATTCAGCTGCTGCCTTCTTTCTTTAGCCTCTCTCGGGAGCATTCAAGTCGCCCTCAAACGAAGAATGTAGCGATCACAATTGCACCTTATTAAAGGCGCAGTATCGAGTTAAATTATTCATGACACTCTCAAATACGCTAGTCGTGCTTTGCTGTGTCATTATTTGCCATTTAAAGTGATTTCTTCAGGCTCCGTCGTGTGTTGCTCCCATTCCAACCTCACCATGTTAATAATACACCCTCTTCCAGAGTTTTTAGGGAGGACTCAGGGGGCGATATTAGTGGCAGCGTTGGGGAACTTACCTCCCAACGAACAACAAACGGCACAGAAGGTGAGAGACCGATGTGGATGGCTGAATCGGCGGAGACCCACAAGGGAAGGGTTATTGGAATCACGTTGGCATGTAAACAACCACTTTAATCTTGAGTTCTGCGTCTCGGTCGGCAGTGGAGCCAGACCGGATGTGAATGGATCACAATGGCCAAAAATAGGCCTATTACCAATTGTATGAAATTTGTAAGGACGCTAGTCATCACAGTTCTGGGATATCAGAGCACTCGTTTCATCCCGGAGCTACTGATAGTAGATGTGAGTAGTATAATCAACTCACCTTAAATTTCGTCACCCCTTCACCAACTTCAGCAACCTTTCCACAGCACTCGCTGCCCATAACGAAGGGGGGCTTGCCGAGAAAATCAAGCAGTCCCTGACGCATCATCAAGTCCTGAAATCCAACACCACTACAAGGCAAAAATACGGTCTGAAAAGCCCTTCGGAAGGGATAAGCAATGACAGATGGCATTTAAGCGTGTCCTGTGACCACTCCTCTTCGAAGAGCCAGCTATTTGGCACGAGTTATCATCCTGGAGTGAAGTTGGTCACGAGACTTGTGGGTGAGACGTAGCAGAGGGGATGTTGAGGACGCAAGCATTGGGAGCAAATATTCATATCTACGGAGCCGGGTGCCCACTACATCACACCTCGCGAAAAACTGTCTGCTTTGAGTAAGGCACACCACAGGCGCAAAACAGAATTGCGAAAAATTTATCCACTCAATACACCTGGAGGGCATATAAGAGGAACTTCTTTCTGAAGAACAGCCAGGACCGGTGAATCAGTGGGACGAATGCGCTATTCATACGCAATGACCCATGACCTTATAACTCACAGCCTAAGGCTTGAATGTAAAAGGATTCCCACTTTTATTAGATTGGGGGGAAGAGGGAGAAGAGAGGTATTACCTCATTTTTGTAGCCGTCCAACGACCTTGTTTAAATGCCCCGGAAATTAGTCGTCACCACCTGAGGTGGAGGGGCTCCTGTCACATGCTAGAGAACTGGCGGAAGATGGCGGTTCTTACCGGTGGAGACGACTCCATTTACAACAGAATTGACACTTAGCATTGAAGTCGTTTTTTAAATCAAAAAGTGTTGTCCGAATATCGCCGTAATTCAAGGGAGTTTGCCATTCAAATCAAAACGGGACTTTCCCATACACCCCTGCGTATCTCTTAACCAACATCTGGAACACTCGGGCATGGGGAGGTGTGTGGGTGCAGCTGAAATCCCCACCCCTCCCCCCTTTCCTCACTCGGCCATCAGTCAACAGAAAAAATCTGTCCTTCTAATCAGCGAGTCTCCACATTCCCAAAGCGTCTGTTCACCCACTGTTCCTGCCGAAAATAGATCTCGGCCATGCGTTACTCGGTTGGCCAGGATTAGGCGAGTGCCCAAGCGCTGAAGTAAATATTTAACAATGAACTCCTCTGAGCACTTGAAGAGCAGAACGTCTCCAAATTTAAGCACTTTTTGCAACCAAGTGGCGCGGTATGCGATTGTATGCATGGAAGGAATTTTTGCCAACGCCAAGCATGGGGAAATCTTTCGCCTCCTACCAACTTGGAAAAGGTCGTAAAAACAGCACCATTCAAGGTTTGATTAATGACGTTGTCGCAGTGAGATCAAACACAACCTACAAAATGTCATCCACGGAAAGCCCATAAACAAAAACAGCAGCATTTCCATCAACCTATTCAGCGAGCTGGCGCGTTCTATCTGCCAGCAGAGTGGAGTTTACTGAACACCACGGCTAACCGTCTGGCCCTGTACTCTCGGGTAACCGCTACATTAGCGAAAGTACAGCCAAGACACACCATGACCTCTGATGACTACCACTGCTGCGAGGGGAGGGAAGCGTATCACAACACCTACTTTTGGAAATTTCATTGGCTCCTAAAACCAAGGGCATACCTGCAATAGAGATAGGTAGGGAAGAGGGGGGGCGGGACAGAAGGAATGCTCAACACTGATTGGACATTACCGTTGTACATACTTCTTCTCACATGTGTACCCATAGTGGGCAACGTGCGCAGAAAAGCGGAGAGAAGGAGAGAGAGAGAGAGGGTGAAAGCGAGAGGAGGAATCAATAATTTGCGCCCGAGACCCTCATAAAAAGACTACTAATTTGAAAAAAAAAATCGCTACAGAATTAAATGTCTTGTCGCTGGCTTACCCTGGACAAAATGGCAACTTTCAGTTAACAAAGCACCCCGGTAAATCGAAATTTTGGCATCAAGATCCGGAGCGGGATAATGGAAAAAATCGATAAGTGACCTGAGCACAGTTCATGTGACGATCAACGTGAGTTGTGATTGGTCCTTCCCAAAAGGACTGCACGAGGGTACTGGAAAATGTCCACCACAAAAAAAACTATTGTGATAGCTGAACCGCATCGAGAAAAATTTTCAAAAAACGCTTAGCCAAGTGGACAATGAATCACCCAGCCCAGGATGTGACATTTCCAAGACATGACTCACCCCATTCCCATTCAGTATAATTTTTCTTTTTACATAACCTCCGCTTACCAGGCTTCCACCTCTACAGCAATTTCGCCTTTTCCGACAGTCCTTTGGTCCTTCAACTGAACACGAAGGTACTTGGGCCCACCGAACCCGGTGAGAAGGACGCATTTCGTTTGCTTCACTGGAGGTGCTGATGTGGTTGGTGCTTCAGTTTCCTTGCTGCCTTCACCCTCTGGAGCGTTGGCTCCAGCAACAGGGGGGTTGGTACCTTCACCTTCAGTGGTCATTGCGATGAAAGAAAAGTCGATCAGACGTGAAAGAGAGAGAAAACTAACAAGAACGGGCAGAGGTGGTGAGAGACAACCTCGGACACGAGCGCGTGAACGTGTGTGTATGTAGGTGCATGCATGAGCGGTAATCACAGGCTCTATCGCTGTCTTCTCGTCCACTGATTGGTGGGCCATTGCAGCTGCTGATTGGTCAATGTGGATAAGAGGGTCTGTCATTAGGCGGCTTCCAGGGTATTGGCGTTTTTCAGCCCCAACGGTGTGGGCGATATCGCAAAAGTCTTGTCATTACTAAAACATCCCCAAGAAAGTGTTTTATGTGTTTCCAAATATTATGGTTTGATTTAGGGCATGCAGCTTTAGGTTTCTTGAGTGGAAATACGTGACCATTGGGCAGGAGGTACACTTGCAACATTTTAGCCACTTAAGAGCCATAAAGGGTAAAATTTTGTGCTTCACTTAATGGGATTCAACACTTTCTTCATTATAACTTGTTTAGAGAAATGCGTAAGGCTTCAAACTGACCATCAACTACACCGAGACTGCCCTGAAGATATAATACTAGGGCAGAATGCGTATTATCAACTTACAGAAGGGTTGGAGGAGCTATTTGCGTGGCCTGGATGCCAGGCTGCTAAGCGGGTGGCCCCAAGTGACCCCTTACCAAAACTGGGTGCTAAACAAGCAATCAACCTATCACACTATGGACTCGTGGTGGAGGAAATTGGGGTTTGAGGGGAGATTGTTTTCCATTTTCAGCCGATTTGTAACCGGTAGCGCCAATCTTTAGAAGTTCGGCCACACTGCCCCGTGGCCGAGTGAAATAAAGACCCCACTCGATTGCCCTCGCACATTGCAACAGATAGCAAAACGCTACATGACTTTAAGTGAGTGACTTCTTTCCATTGTCCAGAATAAAAAAAGAGGAGGAAATCCGCGGGCTAATACTTTTCCACCTTGTGGTAAAAGGAAAGAGCGTTTGTTTAAGCCGACTTAGAGAGGCGGTGGAGGGCTAGGTAGGACCAGTTTTTCAGCTTCTAGAGTGGAGTGGGACCGATATTTTTTAAAGAGAATTATTTCAAAACCACTTTTAAGACGTCTTCATTGAATTCTATGTTCTTCTGTTCGTTTTCATTGTTCCGAAGACACTGGTTGCCATGACTGCCCAGTAGGCCCTAAATAGGAAGTTTCACCAAAAAATTAGCAAAATTTTGCTTTAAATAGCTATTTTGTTGGATTTTTTTTCCGGTAGCGCAAGGGCTTCTCACCTTGGAGGACTTGATTAGGCGGTTCTTTTGAAGTCTACCTCGGCCAATCAATCTGCGGTCCTTCATCGCCTAAGTTACTTCCCATAAAAGTGAAATATTGCCTTAAAAAGTCTTCTTTTTTATGCAAAACGTAAAAGATGAAATGATATCAAATTCGCTTAAACGGTTGTAAAGTATGGGCGGAGGGCGAAATACGGACTGGAGGGTGTTCGAAGCTGTGGATGCCTTTGTCGTGGGCTCTGTCGCCGTGCTTGTCAGCTCGTAACCCGCCCTCCCCCTTCTTCCTGGTCTAGCTATTCGAAATCCGTGACTAGATGGGGCAACTGATGGGATTAAAGCTGCTTAACCTCCCTCTTTCCACCTCCTCCGGTTGCATATGCATTCACCCACCCATTTAGCTTTCTATTTTTGCCTGTTTGTTTTGAAATTTCTCTTTTAAACCGTTTAGTCTGTTCATAGGGGATCCTTTAAGCAGCCCTACTTGCCGCCGATGGCGTAGGGGAGGAACTTGATGCTTTCCTACACACACCTACAACACCAGCGTGACAGGTCACGCTAAAGCGAAGTGACAGCCCATGTGTCAGGCAGGGCTAGTCACATAACCGACTTTCGCTAAATTCTTGCGCCACTTCTGTCGTCTCTACCATTTGACAGCATGAAGAATCCCTTTAAAAATGAGGAAATATTGTGGAAGCACCCGTACAGAAGCATATATGCTACTCTTCGGGCCTTCGTAACCTACAGCTGCGATAGATATTCATCTCAAGGAATTGCAGAGTTGCAGGAGGCATTTCTCACCATCTTGATAAATAAAAGGGTCCTAAGTAATTATTCTACAGTTCGCTACCAAGGTAACTTACCATGTTTGCTGCCTGGAGGGTCTGCTGTCTCAAGGGAAGTTCGACATCCTCAAACCTTTCAGCCAAAAACCCCCACCATTTGCTTTACTATGCTAAACTCCACCGATCTGTATGTGTCGCAAAGTTTGCAAAAATCACAGTGATAACAAAGAGTGTCACAAATATGTGACGCTGATACTAAACACACGCGCATTATAGTAAACAAGCAACTTTGATGACTTAACTAGGTACTTTGGTTTTGCTAGCGACTCTAAGGTCAACCGCTTCCGGCCAAATTACTTTGTGTACGCTATGACAATGATGCCATTAGGGAGGGTGGATGGGTGTTGTAGGCCAAATTTATGGTCCACTCACCCTGTAGTCAAGACTGAGGCAGCAACTGGTATGCAATGTAAACAATCCAAAGTTTACGCATACAGACACAAAAAATTACCAGTCACCGCAACGGATCTACAAGCAGGGCTATTTCGAAAACACCAAAAACCGTTTTTAAGCCCTGAGGTGAAAAAGTGCTCCCTCGTAAGTTCGTAGGGTTTTGGTCCTCATCCCCTTCCCAAGGTGGCCAAAGCTGACTAAACTGTTTCACTCTATGAAGGGAAAATCCCACCTTTGGCCACTGTCAAATGTCGGAAATAGAGATGGTCACGAGAGAGAGATGGCCACGAGAGGAAGAAGTGTGGATTAGGTGACTTTGGAGGATGGCAATAATGATACGGCTGTAAACTTTCCCCTCCTCTCCTATCTAAAGTGTAGATCTTCTCTTGGATCAGTTTTGCGATAATGTGGTGATAAGGTGATTTGACTTTTCTTTTTGGTGATTGGTTTGTCCCGACTATTTTTGAAGAAGTAGTTTCCTCTCAACACCAATTGGGTGTACTGCGCTGGAGAAGGGGAATCCCGTACGTAGGTGTTAAATCCTTTACCTTTTGAGCGATCCTGCCTAGACGTGATATGCCCCAGAGTGGTTCTAGATTGTCCGCTCTGGTAACCCACCTTCTCCAAATGCTCTAAGGCAAATTCGAACGGGATATGTCTCCACTTTCAGAGACGATCCCCTGACTGACCTTCGGAAGACTTCAAAGAGGGGAAGGACTTCAGGGCAGTGTTAAGAGAACTTATCTCTACGCTTTGTGAGGCACGTCCACAAACAGTCGTAGGCACTTTTAAGCCACCACAAGTCACAACTGGAATCATGGTGACTTCTACGGTCAACCTCAGTGATCCGATCCTGTTTACCAAACTTAGGCGCCTTTAGAATCAGTTCACTTTCCCCAAGGCATTTGATGAAGGTCAAGTGACATCAAAGTTATTTCCTTAGTTAACTGACATCTTTAAATTCCTTAAAAGAAAAGAAAAAAACCTTCAGAAAGTACAAAACGCAGTTTCGTTTTCTCTCACGGTCACGGGAATCAACTACCAACAGGACAGCTTCAGCTCACGAAGATTTGTCTCCGTGGTAAAGTGCTGGCCTTTGAATCACTGACTTTATTTTGAAGGCTGCCAGCCTTTAGCTTCTACAGCTCTTTAATCCTACACAGTTCAGGGTTTCCACGCTCCGAGCATGTTAGCTGAGGCCGTGGAATGGACACGGCTGTACGGTTATGGCCGTCGCTGGTGGATGCGCTACCAGGCGTCTTCGAAACAGTAGCGCTGACCACTCGTCTTCCTGTTAAGTAATTGTGTCTGAATAGCTTGTGGATGTAGGTAGATATCCGCAATTTCAGTCTTGAAGCCTTCATTTACGGGGAATGCCACCACCACACCCTGTTTGATGGACGTACTGACACGGATGCCTGACGTGAAGGGGATCGCTTGTCACTTATCTCTTTCTGTGCCACTGCCAAGACAGCATCGTCTCTTAACTTGGTAAAAAGGTGTACCTATCACCGAAACGTCACCTCGTGCCGGAAGAAGGAGGAGGGGGGAGGGCGAAAGGGCCTGTCCCATGGTTGTCAGCTTAGCCAGCATCCCAAGTAGCTTGCCTTTAAGCGCTTTCCCAGCCTCTGAGATTTATTTTCAACAAGCTATTTCTGTCAACAAAACAAGGGGAGCAAATTGACCCAGAAGACCCAATCTTTTTTCACTAGGTCATTAAAAAGTTAAGTGGTTCTATAAGACTGTGTGGGGCCCTCAATCTTCGCGGACAGCTGCAACCCCTCGGCGTTATAGACGTCCCTATTTAAGCCATATTTTCCCTGCCGATGTGGCCTCTTCCTAAAATAGGAAGCCGCAAAAGTGACAAATGAATGTGTGCATTTATTTTCCTTAGTCAAACATGAAACAGCTTTTCCTACCTTGACCAAAACAACAAATTTGTTGTGGGGTAAGCAAGGATGAGGTTTCAGTCATCAGCAAGTTAATGCAGGTCATTCAGATTGGAAAATAGATGGCAAAATCAACGAGAATATCATCCGATCAACTGGATTTTCTAACTTAAAATATGCCCCTGTACTATACTACTAACAATGGCTTAGCGACCAACTCACAGTAGCTTCATTCTGATAATTGGCTTGGATGAGAAAAAATCGGTGCAACACACATGTGTGTAAGCGAGGTTTCACTACGCAGTACCACAGGCCTGTTGCCATCATGCAACGTGTATCATGCAACCAAGGCGGTTCGTGCGGCCTTCGGCGAAACTGGCTGCTATGACTTATAGTGACCTGTCACATGCATGCCACTTTGTTTATCCGCGTACATGAGAAAACGTAGGCATGCACCAGTTCCCCTCATCACCTTAAATGGCGATTTCGCATTAGAAAGCGTCGGATAAACTTCATAGGCGTCGTCAGTTGAAGTGGTCTGCTTAACGGACCTACCTTGGTGTGGTTCCACAGCCTCGAGAGCCTCCTGCAAAACACCTCAGAGAGTAAATTACGTAAATAATTTAGATGAAAAGACTTCCTGAAGAATTATGCCACTATTGATGCCTTAGTTGAGGCTCAAGGGTGAGAAATGCCACTGCATTCTCACCCTCATCCTTTCCACTCACCCGATACATGATTGCCATGTCATCACTTGAAACTTGACAGTCTCTGTAGCACTTAAGAACTTCTGAGGCTGTCAGAGCCAAAAGTGGCTGAAAATGTTTCTTTATCTTTGCTCGTATTTAGAGTCAAAAAGGGCGCACGCAGTGACCATTTGCAGCCACACCATTTTGGAGACAGTCAACTAGCCTATGACCTTGTCAGTGCATATTCCACCTTCAAGCAGCGCTACAAAGCTAAAGTGATTCAATTTGAAAATTTCCGTCTTTGTTGCGCAAATCACAGCTCAGGCAAACCGCACGTTCAATTCAATTAACTTGCCACGTTGTGATTGGTTCACCTCAAGGTTATCGAGACGACTACCCTTAAAGTAGCCAATCGGGTGAGGGGAAAGAGCTAGCCAAAGGACATCATAGCAATGGGCGGATAGGAGAGGGATGGCTAAGAGCTGGGCATTAGGATCTTTTTGAATAAAGGAAAAATAGTCTTTTTTGTGGTTCTTGGGCAATATGGAGAGTTTTCGGGCACGTGTCAAATGTCAAACATCCCTTTTGATGGGGACAGTTGGACTAAACACTATCTCTGCATTTTCCGATTTAATCATCTGAACTTGCCTGTTCCTGAAGTAGTGGCCAGCATCCTGATACCATTTCTGCTACCGCTTATCTTATAGCGTCTCAAGGGTCAATAACAATTGAAGACCCGACTAAAGTTAACTAAAATGTACTGATTTAGTTTTAATACTCAAGGTAAATAAAAAGTAGCCCAGATTAAAAAGAAATAAGTTGATAGGTTTTTTTGCAAGCAGAGCTAACCAATGCACTGAAGTGCAACCCTAAGGTCACCAAAGAAAGCCTTTGTAACATATTTTGTTACTGGAGGACAGCAGGCTCACGTTTATGGCCCCTCTGTCCACCGTCTACCTCGTGTAGGATTGTTTACTGGCAAGATAGGGGGAGACGAGAGGGTCAGCTTTGCGTCACAGGGTGCTGGATCTTCCCCTCCAGTAGCTAAATATTAACCCTCTGCTTAGTTCGTGGCCATTAACGGTGCGCCGTAAGCAAGCCGCGGTGATGATCGGTTATGACGGTGGGTTGCTGCACTGCCCTCTTTTTTTGATAAGAAAAGGTCCAACTTCATCAATCATCCAAGTGCTTTGCCACCAGCCCCTTTCTATCTCACTTTTGTTACGTAGCTGTCTGTTAAAAATACAAATTGAAAAACTCGAGAAAGTGGGATAAATGCATGGAGAAATGTAGCGGTATCCTTTCCCCTCTGACTTCCCCTGAATCCCTCCCTCCCACCGCCTAAATCGCCGATCTCCTTACGCCTGCGATTGCGTGACGAAGCATGTGGACTCACTTCCGATTAAAAAGCCTCGATTGCTTCTGCAGGAGGTTTTTCTCCCACATTCGAGTAGTATCAAATTCTTGATGAGGAAGTTCGTAGGCAACACACGACCTTCTTGGTTGATACAAAGTTCTAGACGCACTCTTTTACTATCGTGCCTTCCCTTCTACCACGAGAAGTTTAAGCCAGCCTGAAACTGGGTTGATTCCGGTTTGTAAATCACAATTGGTCGGATCGCGTAGATCAAGTTCAGCCGACGTTCTACAAGGGTCTAAAATACTGGATCCACCCTATCGGTAGACTGATCCATGGCCACTCTTTACAGAGGTGAAGCGATATAATGAAACATTCTCCCAGTGGATGGTGGACTTCTCACTTGTTGCAGCTTTCTCCGGTGTTTGACACGGAGGCAATGAGCGGCTCGTCCAGGCGCCAAGCAGGCGACCGACACTAAGGCAGCTGAAGACCGTGTATAGATTTAAAAAGAAAAAAAAACAACTTAACTGCGTTGTTTTTGACCACATCAAGATAATAAATTTTGTGCACTTTTAATGCTCTTCTTATCTGAGCCAAATATAAGTGACGAATAACCCCAATTTCTTTAACTGGATGTCAGATCTAGGCCGCCAGAAGGTTTAGACCGAAAAAAAAGGCCTAAAGGTTTGATGGGCATCAACGATGCAGGATTTAAGTGTGTAAACCTTTTCAAGTTGACAATCCACAGGCTCAAGCCAGCTAGGCACTCTTAACTGGTGGAAGGTCTTCAAAGATAATGAAAGCTTCGAAGTTGCAGTGGTCTCATGGACTTGGACTTGGGGCCTTACTCCATATCCAGGCAGGTGGCCCCAGATCCCTCTTTATTAGCCTCACAATAGAGGAAGGAGGAGGAGGAGGAGGAGGAGGAGGAGGAGGAGGAGGAGGAGGAGGAGGAGGAGGAGGAGGAGGAGGAGGAGGAGGAGGAGGAGGAGGAGGA